CTGATGATAAATAGAACAGTATCCTCAGGGAGGGAGGGAGGGGGGAGGAAGGGAGGGAGGGAGAAGGGGAGGGAGGGAGGGAGGGAGGGAGGGAGGGAGGGAGGGAGGAAGGAGGAAGGAAGGAAGGAAGGAAGGAAGGAAGGAAGGAAGGAAGGAGGAAATGAAGGAAGGAAGGAGGCAGATTTCTGATAAAATCACTACCGTACTGTCTTGTGAAGGGACAGGGCTCGGGGGGAGGCTGGGATGGGGAACTGACCAGTCGGACCTTAGAAGGGCCCACACCTGTTTACTCAGCAACTTGATCTGCGTTGGGAGCAGCTAACCAGAACGTTCCCTCTGGCCAAAGGTGGGTCGAGGTGTTGGGAGACTCCCACGGGATGAAACAGGATAAACGGAACACTCGGGCTTAGCGGCTTAATAATTTACACCAGCCCCACTTACAGCGCTGTTCACGGGCCGAGAGGCGGGCGAAGGGGCGGCAAGGGTCCTCCCGGGGCTCAGGTCAGAGGACACAGAGGCGTCTAAGCCCAGACTCTTGGCTTAATAAGTCTTTCTAAACGGAGTGAACATGGCCACACACCTGTCGACCAAACGGCCTGTCCCCTCATGCTTGGTGCGACCGTCACCTGCGAAAGCACCGAGCACCAAGCGAAGGTACAGATGGCAGCTGGATGGACACACAGGAGTCACCAGGAATACAAGTTACTGAGCGTCGGATGCTGTCTGCTCAGCTTGAAATACAGCCGTGATCTGAATGAAACAGGTCACCTGTATCTTTCTGGTGGACCCAGCAGGCCACCCGTTGGGCACCACAAACATCGGCACCATCCTCTCGGCAGGAATGTGCTCTTGCTCCCGGCTGCCCCTCGCTTACCTACATAGGAGGCCCCAGCTCTGTCTCGATCCACCTCTGAGTAATCCCGAGGGCATTCCCCCCCGACCCGCAACCCACATTCTGTTCTGTCGTTGACTGCTCACAGGGGCTCCGTGGTCTGGCTGTCCCTGCGTCCGGCCTGCCTGCTCTGTGGCTACTGCTTCACGAACACCGTGTTCTTTCTACCAGACTCTGCTACCCTGGGCTTCCGTTTGCCTCACTTCCCTCCAAAGCCAACGTGACCTGCATCGCGCCTGCGGAGCACCACCACCGACCGGCTGTCTGAGTGAGTGTTTTCTGTCCTCCAGGCAAGCTGTGGAGTTTTCTACGAAGGTCCCACACGTTCTTTCTTACACATATTCCTGGGGGTGGGACCGTTTTTATTGCTTCTGAAATTAGGATTCTTTTTCTATTCTATTTCCTGACCATTACTGCTGACACACAGAGAAGATATTTCATTGTTTTATACTTCTCTCGAATCCGTCTTCTGAAAGCTAATCTCCTCAGTGTTCTTCAGCCTTTCTGCAAAACAAACTTCTATTAACAGGGTCCCCTCCACCCAGTCACCATTTAGAATGTGTACTGAACCTAACTACACACACACGACCGCCCCGTACAAGGAAGAGCGCCCAGGGGATTGCTCAGGAAGACCCTGCCTTCACGTCCTGCGCTTCGAGTTTCTAGGCAACAGGACCACTTGCCCCAAGGGTGGGTCACTTTATCCAGGTCTCAGCCAACATTTTCCATGGCTATTGTATTTACCCCAATTAGCATCAACTCAGGGTCTTTTCTGCTATTAAAACGTTCAAAGCTTTTAAATGGCTAGGTTTCAGGGGGGTCTGCCTGCCTCTAGGGGGCTTCTTTCCCTTCCTGTGCCCATTAAAAAAGAGAGAGAGAGAGAGAGGATGGTCCCCTTTGGCAGATGTGTCCCCGTCTAATATTTATCGGTTCACTGACAATGGCCAAATGTTTTTTCTTAATGGTTAAAAATCACACATTAAACTGAAGAGTTTTATATCAGGTTGCCCATCTTTAAAATGCTGTTGTTTTTCTCCTGCATACTTAAATATTGAAGTAAAATTTTAAATTTCAGCAAAATACTTCAATCCATGTCACTAAAGCCGTTTTTTGCTTTTTTAAAAACATGCATTTTGCTCTTAACGCTGACTCGCCTCTCTGTGGAGTGAGGTGACCAGTCTCTTCCCACAGAATGTGAGCAGAAGGGGTGAGGGGCACGCTCTCTGCTCACAATACCCAACACCTTAATAAGGGGATGCAGGACCCTGAAGGAGGTGCAGCCACAGGAAAGAGCCTGGTTCCCTGAGTGACTGTGTGGAGCTGAGGCTCCCTCCTCTGCAGATGGGAGTGAGAAAGACTTCTGTTATGCAAAGACAGTGAAATTATGCTGTGTTTTTTCATAGCAGTTAGCCTTCCCCCAGCTAGAGAACAACCAACATGAGTTTAGAAGAGCAGATAAGGGAAATAAAACAGCTAATGACCAAGATCACACCGCAGGACGGGTGGTGAGGGTCCAGCAAACCCTGCGTCACACAAATCTGTACTCACGCCAATCGTTATTAAAAATTTCAATTTAGCCCTGGCTGGTTTGGATCAGTGGTTAGAGCGTTGACCCAAGGTCCAGAGAAACCTGGGTTCGGTTCCTGCTAAGGGCACGTACCGCAGTTGCAGTCTGTCCCCGGCCCCGGTTGGGGTTGTGTGGGTGGCAACCAGTTGATGTGTCTCTCTCACATCGATGTTTCTCTCTCTCTCTTCTTCCCTCTCTCCCTCTCACGCTATCTGAAGATGAATGCAAAAATGTCCTTGGGTAATGTTAAAAAAAATATTTCAATTTAGCTGTGTTAAACTACTTTTTTAAATCTGGAGGTTTAAAAATACATGCAGCACCACAGTTTTTAATGAAACATTATGTGGAATCCCAAAATATAAACTGGATAAGCGAAGAGTAGCTGGGGTTGAAGGAAGGTGGGAGGCTGGGCACTCATCCGCTTAGCGTCTTGGTGTTTCACTGTAGTCCTAGGATTCCAACGTCAATTTGAAAATTCATCATTTTACAATATTGTTAAATCAGTTGCTATTGTTAATATTTCTATTATCAATACGTGTAAACTGCATTAACCAAGAACATCCTTTTTGCTTCTATTTTATATTAAATGCTTAATTTAGTTCTTATTTATCATAACACAAATATTCAAAGCTATGAATTTATCCTTTGATAGTACAGCTTTGCCCACATTGCTCAGATTATTCTATTTTTTTTCCACATTTTTCTCACTTTAGATTCTACTTTCTTCTTTACTGAAGTATTAGTATTGATTCAATAAGTATTTAATACCACTCTGTGCTACGCATTAAGGATACTGTGATGAGCAAGACCAGTAGGACCCGGCCAGTATGGCTCATTGGTTGAGCGTCAACCCATGCATCAAGAAGTCGCCAGTTCGATTCCCAGTCAGGGCACATGCCCAGGTTGTAGGCCAAATCCCCAATGGGGGGGCATGCAGGAGGTGGCCAATCGATGTTCTCACTCATCAATGTTTCTATCTCTTTCCCTCTTCCTTCCTCTCTCTCTAAAATTAATGAAGAAAGTTTAAAAAAAAAAAAAGACCAGTACTGTCACTGTTCTCAGGAAAATTAAATTTCTAAGTGATTTTGATCCTTTCATTATAGGATGATGACAACATGTGACCTGGGTTACTTCTTCAAGTTCACTGAGATTGTCACAGAGGCCCAATATACTTACTGGTCCTGTTCATCAGCTCGTTTTCTGTAATACCTACAATCTGTAAAAATACCTACAACCTGTAAGAACGCCCACAGTTGTAAACGAGGTCACCAGCATCCAGCCTCCTCTCCTGAATTCCAGGTGTATTTCTCAATTCTAGTCAACATGCTGCTAATTTGACTATCGAGTTGTTTTAGTGTATTTAATGAGCTTTGTTTTGGCTTTGTTCTTTTGAAGGCAATCTGCTTTCATCCAAGCGTATTTTTAAAACCTGCTTAATAAGAGTAAAACCCATGTTAATCTAATTAAGGAGAAAAAGAAACTTCATCTTCTGAGATCCTCTGTTCCATAGCAGCGGCTCCTCTCCAAGCACACGCACCTTTGGTCTACTTCTACTGTTGAACAGTTTTTTGGGTTTTGTTTTTTCACAGATGCCATGACTTGTTTTGTTTCATTTTTTTCCACTTTGGTTGTCCTTAAACTGGATTTTCTGGTCATTACTTATCCTGTCCGATGACTCAGGGCTGACTTAAAAACAGGCCTTCTGCATCGCGCTCAATAGAGAGAGGGGTCAGGCTGGGCACAGGGAATATAGAGGGTTATCTTCAACTCCCCACCAGGTACCAAGTTGTTATCAGATGTTCCTTGATAAAGATGGTGAGCAAGTTAGGTCTTTAAGGACTGGACTGTATTTATCTCATGACAGGCATTCAGTCAGTTACGTTACAGGGCAAGAGAACCACCGAGGGACTAAAACCCTTTCTGAAGGAACAGCAGCCAGTTACTTCCACCTCTCAGCTGAATACTGGACGTAAGAATGTAGAACGTCCCAGGAAAGTGAAATGCAAAGAAGCAATGTCCATGTTCAAGGTCTTGTCTAGGAAATTCAGGCTGAGGAAGCTGCCCAAGACCGCTGGTCCAAAGAGAGCCCCGTGGGTGCTAGGCGGCCAGAACAGTGATCAGATCTGATGCAGAAGCTGCTGAATGACTGTAGGAAAGGGACTCGGAGAACGAAGGGAGAAAGAAGGGGGAGGAGGATGCAGACTCAAGGGGATGGTTTGCAACAGCTATAAATCATTGCAGAAATGTCTACCAGAATATGGAAACGCTTTCAATATCAGAATGCCATGTGACAAATGTAATTGCTATATCTTTAGCATATTTTAAGTCCTTTTAAAAGGATAGGTTATTTTATTACTTATATAACACTATAAAAGACTTTACAAGATGAAAATTTCTAAATTCATAAAGGACTTTTCAACTACAATGTTTAGTAATAGCTTTTCATTTGAACTACTAAATGCAACTATATATTTTTCCTTTAACCCAACATGTTAGAATAGAAAGAAAAAAAAGGCTACTAAATCAAAGTTTTCATCTTACCCTGAAAAATCAGCAGAATATTGTCCATAATCAAAGATATACACTCTAGTAATTTGGCACACTATGAGGTATCCCAAAGCAAACACAAAACAATATCTGGAAAACAAAAATAAGCCAGATTAGTTAAAATAAAAGATTCATTTTGTTAAAGAATACATTTAAGTAATTTATTAACTATGTGATATGGTTTGAAACTTTGATATTACTAGATCAACTCCACAAGAGCCTTTTTCAATAAAGTACAGAAACTCTTCACTAGTTTCTGCTCCGGTTTACTTGAATTTCGTACCATCTTCAATGGTAAGTGCCTTCGATTACTGCCTTCGTTCATTTTTTCCTTCGGAAAGGCTCCGTACACCAAACTCTAGATCTGAAAGTCATGCTCACAAGCATAACACTGTGAGTACTGGTATTTGTTCTATTTATCCCTCCTTCTTCCTAGAAAACAAAGTTTAGCACAGAAATATTTGGCTGCAACGTACATTAAATAAATTCTTAACAGGATTTTTGAACTTTGTCCTCAAGCACACGAACCTCGTGTCCATCAGGTACGCATCTACTCGTATTTTTTAGGCATACCCAGTGATTTTTCAGTCTTAAAATGCTTGGAAGCGTGTCACAGTAACTAAATAACACAGTGAGGGGGAGGGTTCACACGTGGACAGGAGAGGGCACAGACCCAGGAGCAGACCTGGGATAGGTAGGTGACACTCGTGCAGCGAAGGCTGTGATCGATGCCAGCGGCGGGAACGGGGGATCACCACCCGAGCCGCTGACCATCCGCGTGGGGCACGGGTGCTACACCTTCACTACACAGTTCTAGCCATTAAAGACTTATAAGTACTATGAAACCAAAACACACAGAAACTGGGGCTAAACATTCAAATGTGTTCCTGCGGGGGAAGGAGTCTCTCCACACACACATATTACAGATGAAAGCAATAGAAAAACACAATATATTCGGCTGAGTTCAAACCTTAACCTTTCCGCGTAGGCCATGCAGGTGGTCTGATGAAAGAGCTCTTTCCAACTCCGGACAAGTAGGTCACTCTGATCGACCTGGACATTCCGGAGCAAAGGGAAATGGAGGGACGCTTCCAGATGTTCACCAAGCTGACATGTCCCTGACGGCTGTATCTGATGAGACGGCTCATGTGCATGCTCACACGGCGTTGACAAAGGAAACTTAGAATCATTTCTAAAGCCATGTGGCAGATGGCGTTTTCCAAAACCTGAGCGGCCACCCCCTCGAGAGGAAGCCGACTGCTTCACCCACTTTGAATGCAGCTGGGCTGGACGCCTACCTCCACCGACCGGTAGATTACGGCAGAAGTAACACGGGGCTACTCCCAGGTGTAGCCCATAATTAGCCTGGCAATTTCTACCTCCTGCCTTTTGGAGGCTGGTTGTCGGGGAAGTGTGACAATCCTGAGGCCACCACACGTAGAAGCTCTGGAGGACAAGACAGAGAAGGAAGAGGGAAGGAGAGAGAGAGAGAGGCGCCGAGAGGTGCCAAGTCACAAGAGACGTGATGAAGAAGATGATGCCGTGTGAACAAGAGGTGTCTGTCCAACTGAACCTTGCCCTGCATTCCTGGCCCACAAAATATAAGCAAAATAATATGCCAATTTGTTTTAGGTCACACATTTTGATGTCGTGACATAATCAGAAGAGAAATATGTGAAAATAGAGTGCTATAAAAAATAAATAAATAAAAACCCCTGAAACACAGCCCTGGCCTTAGGACAGGGCAGCAGGTGGAAACAGGTCGGGAAGAGGCTGTTTGTAAGACCTGAGGGCAGTGAGGACATTGTTAACTGGAGGCTAGAGAGAAGGTGACACTTGTCACATACACAGTGGCAGAAACCGGGTAACACTGTTGCTTGCCCTAACAGGGAAAATAGGAAATATGCCTAATGAAGTGCCACCTGGTGTCGCTGATGTGCACACGACACAGCGTGGAAAGAGAGGTGCACTGCAGCAGAAAAGTGTTCAGGTGTTGAGCCAAATTTAGAAAAAATAGAAAGGGCTCAGGACGTTTTTCCATCAGCAAAATATTATTAAAGTAATCCCAGTACACATGAAGTCAAGGGTCCTCTCTGATGACACCTCAGGAAGGTTGAAGGGCACACCCTTATAGAACTTCTCAGATTAAAAAGAGAAGTCCTGAGAATCTAAGCGGTATGTCCGTCCCTAGACCAGAACGTGCGTAAGAAGCTCAAGGGTGTTATCCTGCAGCACTTTCAGACAAAGTCAAAGGAGACTGTCGAAGAGATCTGTGGGGACGGCTGCTTCCTAATGCATGACACTCACAGTTAGATACACAGGCAGCCCACATCAGTTTTAAGGGAGTGATATGAAATTGGACTGCAAGAGACAGTGCAAAATAAAAAGAGATCTTTAGGTCCCCAGTAATCTACCGGCACCCAGCAGCTAAGAAAGCTATCCAACTGCGAAATCTGGCCATTTCGTATGAAGGAGGAAGGACAGCTGGGGGGGGTGGGGGGGGACAAGAGCTGCAGGGACTAGGCCTGGGCCCTGAGCAAGGAACTGGTAACAGGTGCCTGTCTGGATGTCATAATTGCTCTGGACCAGAGGTTGCTAAGTGACTTCCTGTCCCCTCCTGTTTTAACAGAAGTGTCTACTACAGCTATGTTATAACTGTTCGCCATTGTACGCTGGGTACACAAGGGACCGAACACTGGCCTCTTTAGTTTACTGGTCCTCAGATGAAGCAGCATTGCATTTGACGAACCACACACAAGACGCCTCATTCATGCTAGAGCTGAGTTAGATCGCAAGGCTAAAGATCTGGAGCTTGATGTCATAAGGAGGTAAGACTTTGGGAATCTTGGGAGAAATGAGTATATGTAATGTAAATTGTGGAGGATGGATGTAAATAATGAGGGACAGAGGACTATCTCCAAAGGCTGCTGCCCCCAATCACAACCCTCCCTGTTGTACATGTTGCTCTGTATATCAAGAGTTGGAATATAATTCTCAGCCCCTTGAATCTGGACTGGTCTATCCATAGAATACACTAGAAATGACTTCCTGAAACTTCGAGGCGTAGTCCTAAGAGGTCTTGCAGCTTCCTGCTGGGGTTCTTGGAATGTGGGTCTGTGGCAGGCTCTGAGCCCAGCTGCCGTGTGAGCAGCCCAAGCCCACGCGGACAGGCAAGTGTGAGTGTTCCAGACCCCAATCCCAACTGATCCCGGCCAACAGCCAGCATGGCCTGCCTTCCGAACTCAAAACCCATCTTGGATGTCGAGCAGTCAAACGCAAACGACTTCAGTCCCAGAAAACCTTCAATAGCCACCACACCAGACCCTAAGCAAAAACCGTCCAGCTGAGTCTAGTCAACAGAAGCATAAAAAATAATAATAAATTGTTGTTAAGGCACTAAGTTTGGGGTGGTCTGTCATGTTGCAATAGACAACTGAAATAATTCCTAAGTTTAGCACAGTAAAGCCAACAGTAATTTAAGATACTTGACCTCAGTCAAGTAGGGCTTATTTGATAACTGCAAGTCTGATTTAATGTAGGAAGACTAGTAATATACGTCACCACAGTGATGAGTCCGGGGGGGCGGGGGAGAATCTATCCTAACGATACTAAGCCTATGTCTTCTTGTTTAATTCCATTTTTGCCATAGATAACTTCATTATGTGGGATATGACTTGAAGCTTTTACACTGAACACCAGACTTGTCTGACTGCCAACTTGACGTTGCCATATGAATATCTAATTATATCGAAAACTGTGGCCCAGGAAATTGTTTCTCCCCAGCCTTCCCATCTCATAAGTAACAAAATCCACCCAGCGGCTCAAGCCACAAACAGTTGCTTCCTCCGTCTTCATGCCCCACAACCAGCCTGCAATCCCATCCCACTAGCTCTACCTCTAAAGCACACCCCACGTCTACCCACCTGTCTCCACTGCTACCCTCTGCCCGCACGCTTACCCGCCAACAATCCTATCTGCCCAGAGAAGTCAGAGTACTGTTTTCACAACATAGGCACCCCTGCTCAAAAATCCCTGGGGGTGCCCTGGCCGGTTTGGCTCAGCGGTTAGAGCGTCGGCCTGCGGTCCGGAGAGACTCGGGTTCGGTTCCCGCTAAGGGCATGTACCTCGGTTGCAGTTTGTCCCCGGCCCTGGTTGGTCGTGCGGGTGGCGGCCACTCGATGTGTCCCTTTCACATCGATGTTTCCCTCTCTCTCTCTTCCTCTCTCTCCCTCCCACTCTGTCTGTACAAAAAATGGAAAAATGTCCTCGAATGAGGATTAAAAAAAAAAAATTTTTTTTTAAAAATCCCTGGGGGTTCCCACTGCACTCCAAACTACAAGGGGCCCAGCCTTCCTCTCTGATGTCATCTTTTTCCACTGGCGACCTTGCTCACTAGGCACCGGCAAGACTGGCCACCTCTCGGGTCTCCGAATACCCCGAGCATCCAGCTGCGGAGAACCTGGCACAGGCTCCTGCATCCGTCCCCGGGGCGCTCCCTCCGGTTCCGTGAACACCTGGCTCACCTGTATCATTCAGCTCTCAACTCATCTAAAACAGCACCCACGTCACCTCATTCACACCACTCTCCGCAGTAACTTTGCTTGTGTATTTGTTTACCTGCCTCCTGTCTGTCTCCCCCACTTGGACATTAACCCCAGGAAGGCAGGCACTTTACGGGTTGTCTTCATCGTGTGCCCCCAACACCTGGAACAGACCACAGCACAATGCAGGTACTTGATACGTAAGGACGACGTGTTGGCTGGAGCCCCCTCTCCCTCCTTGCCAACCCAAAGTCATAAAGAGATCCTCCTTTGTTTTCTTCTAAAGTTGTATTTATAGTTTTAGCTGTTATGTTTAAGTCTATGATCCACTTTGAGTTCATTTCTACATATGGTGTGAGGTAAGGGTCTCAGTTCCCCTCTTCACATATCTGGTTGTCTCAGCACCAACTGCGGAAAAGACCATCCTTTTCCAACTGAAAGGCCTTCGCACTTCTGTCAAAAATCAACTGAGCAGCCCTGGCTGGTGTGGCTCAGCGGTTAGAGCATCGGCCCACGGAGCAAAGAGTCTTGGGTTTGATTCCGGTCAAG